TTTGGCCGCATACATAGCAAAAACGAAGTACAGTGCATTGCTATAATTCATTAATACATCATAAATCGTCAAGCACAGGGTTATAACGACCACGAGCCACAAATCAAGCCCTCCAAAATAACCCAAATGAGCTCTTACTTTGTAAACTCGTTCTCAGGGCGCTACCCAAATGGCCCCGACTATCAGTTACTAAATTATGGGACCAGCAGTTCCATGAACGGTTCTTACAGAGATTCAAGCACCATGCATTCCAGCTCTTATGGCTAAAACTACAAAGGGGTGGACCCTAGGCTCAAACCCTCCTCTAGTCACTTTGGGGCTGTGGGGGAAAGCTCCCGCGGTTTCCCTTCTCCAGCTCAGGAGAGCAGGTTTAGACAGGCGTCTAGCTGCTCCTTATCTTCTCCCGACTCCCTTCCCTGCTCCAACAGCGAGAGCCATGGAGGCAAACCCGCCCCGTCCCCCTCCGACCAAGCTACTTCTGCCAGCACCACCAACACAAATTTCACAGAACTAGACGAGACCAGCGCGTCCTCGGGAGCCGACGAGGGCACTCCAATAAGCAGCAGCATCCCCCGAGCGCAGGCAGAGCCCATCGCAACCTCCACCGCAGCAACAGAAGGGCAGGCACCTCAGATATTCCCTTGGATGAGGAAACTTCACATTAGCCATGGTACAGCTACTTCTTTTTCCGTCGTTGTCGTTGTTGTTGTTTATTTTCGCACACCCCTCTCTTTTTCTCTTGTGTTTTTTTCCCCCCTTCTTCTTCTTCTTCTCCTTTCTCCCCCTTTTACCCTCCCCACCCCACTCCCTTTTTTCTCTCCTTCCTTTTATTCGGTGGAGGCGCTTTGATCAGAAACGCAGCTATTTATTGCTTTTGTATTTCTTGGTCTGATCGCTGCTCTAAAGCTGCCTCTGGAGCCTGGAGGGGGGGCGATTTTATTTTAGTTTCTCTATTCTTGCCGCGGAATGTGCGCTTATTTCAAGCTCTTAGCTCTATGTGGATGGTGGGAGAAGGTAATTTAAAAATTGAGGGAAGGGGGGTGTTCCTGGAGGGGGGGAAGGAAAGAATTGACCATTAAAATGGCATTATATGCACAGATGGGTCTCAGTCCTTTCCTACTCTTATTTTGCTGGGTGTATTCTTGACAATCTGCTCCTGATAAAACCAAAATTGCGAGGAGATACGCGGGGAATAGCGACCCCCCCATCCTCGGTTTTCTCCTAGAGAAAAACAAGCAGTATTAAACCTGACGCCCCTGCAAACAGACCCAGAAACACCCCGGCAGAGGCAAAAAAAGGGAGATTTCAAGAAAACTAGCTTCTCCAGCTAAACTACGAATATTGAGTTGCGAGTGTCGGTTCTGGAGGGGCCGAGGGTGGGGGGGTTTACACGTGTCTGGGAGTGTGTGAGAAAGGGGGAGGCTGTTATTTGGGGAATAAGCAGCTTTCCTAGCTGTCCGAAGATGGTGAATATTTCACCTCAGTATAAAAAAAAAAAATAAAAATTAGCCTTACGCATAATACAAATCCTAGCAGAAAGCAAAAACCCAAATCCCGCTGTTGTCCGTGTTATTCAGACATGACTGGACCAGACGGTAAGAGGGCGAGGACAGCGTACACTCGCTACCAGACCCTGGAGTTGGAAAAGGAATTCCACTTCAATAGATATCTCACCCGCAGGAGGAGAATAGAAATCGCTCACGCTCTCTGCCTCTCCGAGCGCCAGATCAAAATCTGGTTCCAGAACAGGAGGATGAAATGGAAGAAGGATAATAAACTGAAAAGCATGAGCTTAGCCTCGGCGGGCAGCGCCTTTCAGCCATAAATTCTAGAGGAAGAATATCGAGGGAAGAAGAGGAGACGAGAAAGAAATACGTAAATAATTAAATAAAGAGCCGCAGATCTTAGTTTCGGAGTACTGTACAGTGAGGCACCTTCTTTTCGGCATGTTGTTGATATTCTAAAACAACGCGTATGGTACCGTTATTCCAGGACTGAGTCCATGTCGTGTTCTGTTTGGGTTTTTAAAATTTTTTTTAATTAATTTTTATTTCCGGATGCTCCTCATGCTCTTGTTGTTCTTATAAATGTATGTGTCCGTGCTCTCTTGATGCTTTCTGGAAAGCTAGCATGTTTTATGTGAGCCCTTTAAATGTTATAACTTATTTATAAATTGAAGAACAGATACGATTGTTTGTTTATTTGTTGGGGGGTTTTCCCCCCTTTCCTGAGTTTACTGGTTTTGGTGAGTCCTTCTCTGCCTAAGCTAAAATCGGGGGGTCCTGCACTACAGTCGCAGAAAAATAATATCTAAAAAAACCAAACAAAAATGTAAAAAAAAAAGATTAAAAAAAAAAAAGGAAAAGAAAAAGCTCTTGTATCTTCTGTCTTAAAATTGTCCAGTCTGTGTTTTAGTCCAAACTTCAGGCCAGGACTTCTAGTCCCAGGCTAATTCCAAGACGTACTCTTAGACATGGGTAAACTTCACTATTAAAAAAAAAAAAAGTATAAAATCAGACCAACAATAGAGTGCTCTAATGTTTGTAAATACTAGAAATATTTCTGATGTGACTAATAGACGGTTCGTAGTGGGCAGAGTGAATGCAATGTTATGTGTAAAAATGGCATCTGTCATGTCTAGCTGCCTGTTAGTACTTTGCCAATAAGCTTTTTGTATTTGTTTGTAGCTTTACTTGAAGTCAAATAAACGTTTCTCCTATTCACAAAGGCTCCCAGTCGCACTTTATACACAACCTCTGGGATTTGCAGCACATGCTAAAAGCCTGGCGTGGAGCTGAGCCTGGGCTGGGAGCTCTCAGCAGAGCTGCAGCCTCTCCTGGGCAGCTTCTTGGGAGCCCCGAAACACCAAAGATTCACATCAAACACCCTCCCTTGCACCGCACGGGAATAAACCGCGACCCTCCGCACTGCCTCGAACGCCCCAAAACAACATAAATACCCCCCGCACACCCCTCTCCTGGCCGCCCCACCGCATCAGACAAACTGGTTTCAAGTACTTCAAGTTGCAATAACACGGTATAAACGCTTCCCCGGCAGATTTACGTGCATTTCAGGAATGGTCAGGCACAGCTCGACACACACGCACATTTTAAAAGCGAGAGGTATTTATACCCGCGCATATGTCCACGTAAAACCGTGTTCTACAGAATTACAGATCTGTGTGTTTGTATATATATATTTATTATATATATATAACATGTATAGACATAATACATCTCTGTGCTAAGCTGTTTTCTATCCGCCACCCCTCGTCCTCGGTTTATTGTGCTTTTTACCTCCTAGTCTCTGGCTCAACATGTAAATAACAGCTCACTGTAACGACTGACACTCACTACAACGAGTCATTTTGCCTGCAGATAATTTAACATCATCAAAGATGGCAAATGTTGCCATCTCGCTACCTAGGGAATCTAACAAGGCACAAGATACTCCAGTTTAAAGTCGCTCGATTTGGCAAAATGCCACTGACATCTCTACAACACAGCTTAGGCTTTTTGTCCGTAGCAAGTAAAGTTGGAACTTAAAACTTACCAAACTTAATCTCCCACTGTTTAGGTACTTCTTAAGTGATTTTGAGAGGGATGTGAAGTGGACTGTCAGATCCCAAACCATTTGCTCGCCTTCCCTTGATTTTTTTTTTTTTTTTTTTACCAATAGCAAACTATACCAAAAGTGGGTATGACATTTAGATGTCAAATGGATAGGGTTTTATCTAGAAGTTAGATCGTAAAAATCGCCCAGACCTCAGACAGATACCCCTCACTGGCTCTCAAAAGTCACGTGAGGTCCATAAAGTTAGTTTTATGGTTTTGGGGAGTTGACAATGTACAATATATTTCACATTCTCTAGAATGTTAAGTGACACTTTAACTGCTTGGTTTGGCTTGTAAGGGGCAGCAATGGGTGAGCACTTTTCCAGATGAGATAAACGTTGCAATTGCAGGGAACATGTTTTGCGGGTCCAGTTTTCAGTCCAGAGAGCCAATAGACTGGAGTCCTGAAAGTAAGTCCTTCTGAAATATTATCTGCTTAAACTATTTTAAAGGGTTGATATGGCTAAAGGCTGAGCGGGGAGGAAAGAGGGTCTGTCTCTCTTTCAGAGCTTTATTTCTCACTTTTAGAAGGTCTTAATTCTTATCCTCCCGAGAGCTGGAATTGCATTACGTTTCCCTCACAGCTTCGAGGCCCGCAAGTAAACTTTGTGCAAGCGGGAGAAATAGTAAATCTGTAAAGATTCATTACCATTGCAAGGCAAACTCCATCCTGTCTTTGCCGGGGGACATGTGTACTTCAGACAAAGTTTGGTTTTGTCCTTCGCCGTGTAAAAAGCCTCTCGCTCGCTTGCTGGAGGTGATTCTGTCTGGTTTATGCTGCTCGCAAATAGCCACAAATCTGACCCATGCTTTTGCATTTCAATTAGCTGTATTCTGTCTGTACTCTTCAGGTTGTTAACACCTTTTGATTTTAATTCTTTTCACCTGCTTGCCAAAGAAATATATGCACTTTTTTTTTTACCCCCTCCTCCTTTCGGCCTGTATAGAGACAGCTTCTTTTGCCCCAGGGCGCTTTCCTCCACCTCCCCTCCCCCCCTTTTTTTTTTTTTCCCTTGGGTTTCGTTTTTTTTCACGAATAACACGAACGAGTGTCCTCTTATCTCCGTAGTTCGATTCTACCATATGGAGATACCGAATGCCCGCTGTTATGTCTCCAGCCTGTCTCGAAGTGCTACAGAAAAATAATCAGAGAGGCTTAGGTTTGCATTGCGGGCCCTCCAAACCTTATTGAACCCACAGATATCTTACAGATTTCTTTCTTTTCCCCCACCCAAAGTGTGACATCGCTCGGGAAAAAGGCAGGCAGCAGCCTTTTTCTTTGGGAAAATAAACAAGTTAGTGGGGAAGGGCAGGAGAGCAGAGGCTGACATGGCTCGGGGGCTGCGGGGCCCCCGGGCTGGGACGGGCAGGTGGCCCCGACCGGAGACTCCGGCTCCGCGGTAGAGTAGATAGAGCAAAATAGGGCAAATGTTACAAAATAGAGGAATGCGTGGAAAAAAAAATATAAACAACAACAAATCCCCCAAACCAACCCAACTCTGGTGAAGTTGCTGTTTTGGAAAGCCAAGTCGGCACGTCTACAGCAGAGGTGGGGGGGGACACACTTCTTCCACACCTGAACCAACTTACATCTATTCCCCCCTCCTCCTTAATCTTTATAATTTTTTTTTTTAAAGAGTTCAAAGCGGACGTACTTGGAGCGGGGGATGGGTGGTTTTTTTTTTTTAGAATTTGGAGCAGTCACAAGTTTCTTTTTTTCCCCTCCTTTTTACGGTAAGACAACATTTGGTGGACACATGTCCGTCTCTTTTACACAAAGCAGAATGTCACCCTTTAGCACACTTTGGAGATTGCTTTTCCTTCCTTGGGCTATTTTTCCTGTCCTACTCCATGTGTCTCCTAATATCTTTACTATCATGATCTGAACCCCTGGATTCTCCCTGAGCAGTCAGGAAAAAAAAAAAAAAAGAAAAACACCAAACCTCTGCTCTGAAAACCTTTAAACATAAAGGCAAAAGCTGGAAATTCAAGAAAGGGAAGAAGGGTGCAGGGAGCAGAATGGGTTTGTGCTGAACAGCCTCTCCCTAACGCCTGCATAAGCCGGACTCCTGTTTTTCTCAAGACAGTTTACGGGATGGTAAAGGGCTTCTACGGCATGGTCTTTAAAGGTGAATTTAGCCTCACGACATGCTGCAGACAGTTTGCCTACATGGGGTTAGAAACGCTTGGAGGAGGGCGTTTGTGCGGAGAGGTGTGTGAGCCTTTGGGGGTTAGACCAAGTGGAGGCCTGCGAATTTTTTTACCCTTCTGATCTGTACTGGTGACTAGAAATAATTTCTCCTGATTCAAATGGATAGATGGTTTAGGCAAAAAATGATTTAAGGGAAAAAAGTGACATCCCTTCCCCTTAACCTAGGTTTGAAAATGTAACCCACGTTCAGTGCATGTATACACTCACAAACACCATTTCTCCAAAATATATGCAGCCATCCATGTATCCATAGATCTGTCCATCCATCCACCTCTTCCTTATCGATCATCTGCATCACTGCCTGATCCCCCCCCATCCCCACTCAAAGGTTTGTTTTTTTTTTTCTATAGTCCCAGGCAAACTTTCCTTCCAAATCCACTCCAACCACAGGAGGTACAAGGTTGTGGGATTTTTTGTTCGCTTGGTTGGGTTTTTTTTTTCCTTTAGTACCACAATTTCTAACCATTTGGCGTGTGCAAAATGTTATTTCAAGGGGGAAAAAAACAGACCAAGATAGCCAGAGCAAGGGGAAATTGCAACGCAGTTTAGCTAAAGAACTCTGCAGCGAGGAAGAGATGTCTGTATGGATCACAACAACTACCAGCGCTGTGCCCCCACCTTTAATTTGAGCATCCTCGACACAAGGGTGGCACCAGGCCTGTGTCACAGCAAAGGACTAGGGACTGGATTTTATTATTGGTATCATAATATAATCCTCTCATCTCTCTTTGGTTCCCAGCAAGAAATCCTGTCCTCTCTATCTGCTCTCTACAGCATGTAGCTTGGTTTTGGTGTTTGGGTTTTTTACAAGCTGAATTTTTGGGAGGTTTATTCGGGAATTCTTTTTTTTTCCCCCTTACATGGTGTTAACCTCCGGCAGCTTCCTGTGAGGAGGCATAAGGATATAGAACTAGCTACTATTTTACAGCCTGCAAGGAGTCACAGACTTAGCAGAGTTTTCCCCCATCCCATTCTTTAAAGAAAAAAAAAAATCTCCCTGTTTCTGGTGCAAAGGAAGTATAATGAGAGTAAACAGGAAAACAGAGCTCTGACCGTGCAGGTAGGCGGGGATTTTCCTTTGCATTTTTCATCGTTTCTCTCGCTTTAATGGCATACGTCAGACATGGGACAATTAGTTCTTCTGTAGCTGTAGAAGACAGAATAAATAGGAAATGCTTTAACAGAGGGTCTAAGAACATGGGAGAATCTCTAGGACATGATTACTGCTTACCAAAGCAAAT